AATAAGCTCTTATTTTATATTCTAGCTAGTCGATATCAGTAGTTTGAGTTCCCAATTTGTACGAAACTGTAGATTTTGTATTTTGACATCACAAACATCTAATCTGAACCATGCTGCATTCAACATACCATGTGACACACAAAAATCGATGTTTAGCTGCGTTTTTTCAATATTTACTGACATATAATATTAGAATTTGAATTATAATCTACAATTTGATACCAAACTCATTGACGTATATTCATAAAATAGTAGTTCAATAAAATTTTGAATGCAGGTCAACTAACGCGATGACATGTGAACCGTCAAGATAGGGTTGAACAGTTCTACAATAAAAAATGTTGTTTTTTTATTAGTAGTTGACTGAGAATGATCAGCAAAACAAATTTCAAACCTCCAAATGATAAACCATGTAGTAGGAAATACAGTTTGGCACTATATAGTAATTTATAACATGCAACTGTTTCTCTTGTCACATAATCAACAACCTACAAGATAGATTTATGCTCTTTAGAGGAAGACTAGAGTAAGTAAGCTCTGAAAGTCTGTATGAAGTTGAAACAAACAATCATGATAAGTAAGAGTAAGTAAACTTTGGATACAGAGAAATCTTGTATACGGGTACCATAGTGTGATAGCTAGAACAGGAAAATATAATACAGGAAGAATAGAGCAAAAAAAATGAACGAAGACAATCTAAAATAACCAAGATAAAAGCCATGCCTAGAAATGAATATAAAAAAACTTCTATAGTGAAGGTAGGCTGGCTCATTTCTAGACCAGTTCACTATTATACCTTCTATTCAACCACTACAACATCTTCATTTAATCTGTCAACTCCCTTTTGTAGAGCTAGTTAGACTTAAACCTGTCTTAAGTAGACAGAGGCAGAACCAGTATGCATAACTTAAGGTGAGTTATGCATGTTTTTATCACAATAGTAAAAATATAACGGCATGGTCTTCTCTGACCATACACAGTAGTAAATTCCAATAATGGCATGGTCTTCTCTGATCATACACAGTAGTAAATACCAATAATGGCATGGTCTTCTCTGATCATACACTGTAGTAAATACCAATAATGGCATGGTCTTCTCTGATCATACACTGTAGTAAATACCAATAACAGCATGGTCTTCTCTGACCATACACAGTAGTATATACCAAAACATTATCAGATATATTCACGCCTGGTCATTTTCAAGCTTATAGGAATTCAAGATTCATCACTTGAGCAAGGAACAATAGTACAATTATTCCAAATGAGAAAAATGAAAATCAGTATTGCACAAACAACTGTAACGGAGAATTCCAGCTGGTTCTTACATGTATAGTGCATTTCAAAGTTTATAAGTATGGTTATAATAAAGAGCATACTCACTGGCTTTTGATTGAATAAAATAAGAACACGCGTGTACACATATATGATGATATCAGTTTCATTTCTACATAATATTTTTAAACAGGTCAGCACCACAATCAGTAAATAATTAAGTAAAACATCAGTGAAAAATGAAAAATTTAATATACAAGTCAGAGTCTTAGTAAATAGGTTTATTGAATCAAAATTTATCTTCCATCAAAACTTACAAGGTTTTTGATTCCAATAAGTGTGATCCCAGTAGGGCCCCTGTTTTAGCTTGGTTTGGAAGCCACACTGCAACACCCAGTGAGCTGGTGTTTCATCACGGTTTCTCCAGCCACAAAATCCATTTTCAAAAGTACAGTTTAGGTCTTTGGAAGTATCTAAAAGAATTATATTAAGCAAACTTTGTAGAAACATCAAGTAAATTGTGAAAAATGGCATCATTAGTTATTAACTAAAGTAAACAATCTGAATATTTATGCTTATTGCACAGGGAAAGTAGTGTCTAGGGCAGTTCCTGATTATTATAAGACTGGAACTGGATGCAAATTTGTCATTAGCTCATACATTTAATTTGTTTCATATTAATTCCACATTATATCTATGTAGAATTTTACAAGTAACTTTGTACTCATAATAAGTCTTATTTGAGTTTTTAGGCTTTTGTTTAGCTAGTGGAAGAGATGCAAAATTAGTTATGTATTGTAGAACAGCCCTATTAAGTCTGTAGCCTTTCATTTCATCACATGTATAAATAGTATGAAGGGTATGATCATGGCTAGCTATGAGGTCACCGAGTGGTATGTCTGTGGACTTACAATGCTAGAAACTGCATTTTGATACTCGTGGTGGGCAGAGCACAGATAGCCCACTGCATAACTTTGTGCTTAACTACAAACAGCAACCTTTAAAAATTTTCCTGTTCTTAACAAATGAAACTAATTTGCTATTAAATTCTTTACAAATATCACTGTTTACACAAACTTAATTTCAATTTACTGAAGAGGATAAATAAGTACCAAGTTTTCTAAGATTAAGTGAAGTATTAAACCTAATTATTCATTTCAATTATGAGTCTCAAGGTTTCAAATACTAAAATGTAAAAAATACTGTGAAAAAAAATACACTTCCAAAACTGGACATTCAACCATACCATGTGAGCACACACCATCGGTAATGGTCAACAAGTCAAGGTTAATCTGAGACGTGACTTGCCAGAATGCATCATGGAGACCTTGATGGTAAGCTGTAAAGGCAATCTGCAAATAATAATTGAAGTGTACTTAAGAGATGAACGTAAAGGTAAAATATTAGATAGTCTACTATAAATTAAAGTAAGATGTTTTTCATTTTCATACAAAGGATAATCCTTCTCATAATATACAATTTATATTTCATCCAATTAATAAAATCTTACAATAAGTAACTTACCCACAACAATATTCTCTTTAATGTTTGTTTTTTATTTTAAAATCAGATTAATTTGAGTCTACCAGTTCTGATGAGACATTCCTAAAATCAGTTTATTTTATTAACTTGGATTGTGATGAATCAACTTCTATCATATCTTACACAAAGATGCTGTTCAAATTTTCTTTCTGTTTTCCTATCAAAAACAAAAAAATATTTTATATGACTTGTGCAAACCATAAATAGTTCCCTTACATGTGGCCTAAACATCTTTATGTTATACTTACTTGATATGGATTACTTTCTCCTGGTAAAGTAATAGAAGCTTTTAGCCATAAGTTCCCAAGTTCTCCATACCTGGACCACAAAATTTTGAATGTGTCATTGGCATACAAAACTCCCATATTTAGTTTAATGTTTGAGTACCCAACCATTCTGTACCAGAATGTAAAGCACAAGGCTTCACCTAGAGGTGTTGAGACAGAAGGTGAAATAAGCATCTGTTTGTCTGTTGTTCCAACTGGCTGAATGTAGAAGTTGCCTACAAAAATTAAAAAGACAAAGTTGAGTGACTCATTACTCACAATATCTAAATCAATAAAAGAGATATTTCTATCAGTCAAAAAGCAAAAGCTTGAGTTCTGAGTTAAAAAATAACCAAATTTTTATCATCTTCAATGGATTGTAAACATAATTTTTCCACTTCTCAATAGCTTTCATGAAACCCATTAGTTTACCTCACTGGAATAACTTTACTGTTAGTTTTATGGCATCAATATTTATTATATTGCTCCATACATAGGTTGTGTTTTTCTTCCAGAAATGAGCATAACAACCAAGTGTTTCACTAAGAAGAAACTGTTAAAACCATGGAACACCGAAACAAACCAGGTAATTATAGGCCTATTAGTCTTACATCTGTGGTGGAAAGTCAACATGGTTTTACAAGAGGAAACTCTTGCCTTGCAGTAGAGAAGTGGTTTTGGTATATCTGGATTTTCAGAAAACATACGATTAGGTCTTTTAAAATACTTTTTTCAGAGTGAGATACAAATAACAATTTTGTTTCTTTTTATATTAAAAGTGAGTGCTGTTAAAAGTGTTGTCCTTGTATTATCATGCCCACTCCAATAACATTTGTAAAACTGAACCAAAACTCATCTCATTGCTACCTAAAATTTATAGGTTAAAATGTTGTGAACTTTGACTCTTTCATTTAATCATGGAACTCATCACACAAGAACAATCAATGAAGTTACCTAAAACTACCATTTTGAAAGAAAAGTTAGTTTATTTATTCATTGTGCTTTAAGATCTCTAGACCCTTCATGTTATTTCATGATGGCATTTATACTTGCATTAAAATAGCATCTTTTGAAAAATGAACAAACTAACAAAACCATCTTTTCAGGAAGAACATTTATTTAAGGCATCTTGGTATGTCTTGAATACTCTGGGACTTTGCTTTTTTTTTGTTCTTAGTTTCAAGGTAAACTTGAAACTATGTACAACAGTTAAACTAGTTTTTACCAACAAGATTAGAAAAAATTTTTTTTTTGTAAACCAAAGGCTAAATAATTTTGTCCAGATGAAGGATATAAACACTGAATTATATAGATCATGATGGTGGCCCCTTTCCACTAAAATGAACTTGTCATTCTGATAATCTTGGTTTCCATACTGTCAGGGGAGGAAGGTCCCCAGGATCAGTTCTTGTATTATGAAAGCTGTGGCCCAGAGATACACAAGTCAAATAAATCAAGTAATGTAAGTCAAATTTAGTCTTCCGACACTCTTGCGTAGCTCTCAGAACCACCAAAAACTTTCCGAGCTGATAAAAACACAGGGTTGAAACATTATATAATGCTTAGCTATAAAATCTACAAAACCAGCACTTCTATTGCAGTACTTCATATTTCACTGCAAGCAGAAATTTCTTCATGATGTTTTTTTTTTTTGAAAGATGGCAAACTATGGTAAGATCATGAATGAATAACTGTGGAGCAACACAGTTACTTGGTGATATATATATATTCATAAACATTTTATGTTCTACACTCTGTACCAATAACTATTCAAGAGAGGTTAACTTCGTGCTCAAGATTCCCTGGAATTTTAAAATACTTTCACTGTTATGGTTAATTAAAAAAAACAGTCACAATTTATACAGATGATGAAAATTAAACTCTTGAAACATTTTATATGGCCTTTTAATGCTCCAGAAAACTTGGAAAACACAAAAATAAGTACAATACCTCCAGGGATACTAGAGTTTACAACACCAGAATACTGTAGACGCCAAAGTGTAGGTGAGTTAGTCAACCATCCGCACGTACCATTATCAAAAGTACAGTTGATGATGTTTCTGTTGTCTAAGTTTATGAAAAGATACAAAATAATATTCATTACTGCCTAAACCACAGTTTATATAAAATCAACAGAAACAATCAAATGAGTACATTATAAATATTTGGTGTTTGAGGAAAATGCAATATTCAAAAATAGACCATATCTTATCAAATGTGATTCTGACAAATAAATTAATTAATATTTTATACTCTTACCTCAACTAGTAATTTTGTTTGAAAATCTTTCCGTATTTTTTTATGGTTAAAATAAAGTAATAATATGAATGCCTCTGTATTGTTTAATCTCAATCTTTCTTCTTCTCTGTTGAAAAGGAAAAGGCCTTACTGTTTGAACAGTTGAAAAAAGGCATATCATTATAATATCTTAACTTGATTTTAGAGATTTAAGGTAGCAATGACTCTTAAAACTGGGCAAATTTACATGCTGAGGAAACACTGTTAAACACTTCTTATAACATTCAAGTTGAGCACAAAACAAAAGCATGTTGTAGCAATATCTGAAATTATACTTTCAGTCATGTATATGTCATATACATAATTAATGTGGCACGGATAAAGAAATACATAAACTATTTTAACACCATAACTTTACTTAGGAATGATAAAAACGTGAAAATTGATACACCTGCTCTTTGTGAACATTCTCATAACTTGAATCCAAACTTTGCAATTTATCTCCAATGTTAATGCTATGGGCAATTAAGTTTAATTAATGGCTTTGTTAGTGGTAATTAAACTCATAACAAGACAATTGGTAAAGATTTTTGAATGTAAAAATATTCAAGCTATGGAAGAGTGTAATATCAACAAGTGTGCTTAATTTCATGCTGATATTGGCTTTAATGGTGAAGTGGAAACAGAATGAGAACAAACTAGTATTATATTCTAATCAGTTAATACAGGTTAATTAGTAAAGATTTTAAGACAAAAATAAGTTATTTATGTAGAAAAGAAATTAAATATTAGATTTAGGCTAAATTTGAAAAAGTTGTTTTTGAAATATTGGGGAATTCTTTAAGGGTCAGTGCTACCTTAAACATTTGAACATAATACATCAGTTTTAATTTCAAACATTTTACATAAAAATATGATGTATAAAAATTATAAGGTTTTGAAACTATATGATACAATGAATACACTAACACAACTGAGGGTTTTATATTATTAGTGAGAACAAAAATTCTATATCTTAGATAATAATGAGATGTTTCTGTGGATTTATCAAGCGTACAATGGGTTAGTCTGCATAACAACATGTTTTAAGTAGATAACCATTTCAGCTGTTATTTATGTTTCCCATATGATAATATAAACATTTGTTTTCATACTTGAATTACTAATATAGATTGTAACGATTGTCTTGTTCATAAGTAATTCTATACAATATAAAAAGCTACTATCTTTATATAATTGATACTTGAAACCGTTGGTACTTGGTGAAACTCTATAATTACAGAACTGAGGAAAAACAAGACAATTGTACATTTCATAAATACTTCATTTATTCACAACCATGGTTTCGCCAGTAAAGGCATCATCAAGTACCTTGTGTTTATAGTTTATTCTATGGAACAAAATAAGTTACTTACTGTTTTTACATTTTCCCTTTGACAGTTTAATGTCATCCAAAGCAATATTTTTGTCATTGTGGTAAAAGTATCCACTTCCAAGGAACTGAATCTTATATTGAAAAAATAATGAAAATATTTCTCATTTTAAAAGATCTTCTTTATGCAAATTACTGTAAACATATAACAAATTTGAAATTCACAGTTTTTATTCTAATAACATAGAAATTTAATCTTTTTGCATTTAATATCATGCCATTAGTTTTGCTGAAATTTTTTTGTACATCTTAGTTATTATAGAGTTTTGGTTATTAAATAATCATTTGAGCCATAATTGCTCCTACACGAAAGAATATTGCTAACTGAACTGAGAAAAGGCATAGAATAGAAGAATGGCAGAAGAATAAAATATTTTAATTAACTAAGAAATTATTTATTGTTCCCAGTTTAAGATAATGTAGCATTTAGATAATGACTGAAATTAAGAGTAAGATATAAGATCATATACTTTCAGAAAAAAAACAGTAAACTTAGAATTGTGATTATTTTAAAATTTCTTTTAATTTTAGGAGAAGTGAACTTCAGCAATATTTAATTGTGGATCTTAATGAAGGTTTAGGTTATATAAGAAAATGTTTATAGTTAATAATGTTTAATTAAAAATGGAGCAGCAATGGGGGTATATTGTACTTCCAAGTGTTTACATGTTATGCTGAAATTATTCATTACGTATGAAATACCACTGTTAAAAAAAAGAAAAGAGACATTCTACTGGTTAACTGCAAAATGATTAAAACTAAATTAAAATTCCACAGAAAATCAGCTTAAAAAAGGAAGAATTAACTCTAGCTGTGACCCTTAATATTAGAATAATAATACTTGGGTAATCCTAGATTTTCAGCAGAGAAAAAAAGAAATGAATCAAAGAATTTAACTCCACTTGTGACCTCTAGCAACTACCAGATTCATGTACTCATAGATGAGTATGGATAGAAGAAACTAACCAAAACATTTAACAGAACAATTAACTGGATTCAAATAGTCTTAGACTAAGGTAGTATAGAGAAAATAAATTAACCAAAACATTTAAACAAATTTTTTCCAGATGTGACCACGAACAATGAACCAGATGGGTATAGATAGAAGAAACTAACCGAAACATTTAACAGAACAATTAACTGGATTCAAATAGCCTTAGACTAAGGGAGTATAGAGAAAATAAATTAACCAAAACATTTAAACAAATTATTTCCAGATATGACCACGAACAATGAACCAGATGGGTATGGATAGAAGAAACAAACCAAAACATTTAAAAGAATTAATTCCAGATGTGACCTTTAATATTAAGCCACATCTTGGTTATCCTATATTTTTAACACTGAGAAAAGAAACAAACCAAAGAATTAACTCTAAATATTACTTCCCACTGATCTATATTCATGTCCTCCTAGTCTTTGGATACAAAAAAAGAAATGAACACTGAGGTTTCCAGAGATCAGGATTGACTGGAGTTAGAAATAGTTTCAGTGATGCTGATAATACTATTACACCTCATTGTTATATAAAAACTGACAGTTGTAAGAACAAAATCCTGAATGTTGTTTTATAATACAATTGATCAGGAATTATTCTTTTTAATTAAATGTAACATAAATTACCACTAAGTGTTAGTTTTGTAGTTTAAGTGACAATGAAATAATTCAGAATATTTTCAAATGCATGAACATTGATCTACAGAAATGTTTTTTAGACCATATACACTATGTGTGATAGAATGATTGGGTGGACGAATCAGAAATTAAAATGTTTTGGGGAGTGAGTTATTAAAGTTACTATTTTTAGAGTTGAAGTATAATGTCATGGACCCACAAGTTAGAAAAGTGATCTTAAAAAACTTATGGGGTCCATATTGTTACACTTCCGTTCGTTAGTTAATTTTCCGTAAATTCGTTCTGATGAAACTTTAGCGACACAAGTCCTTTCTTAAATAAAACTGGTTTATTCTTTCCGAATACAACTTTATGATACACTTAATTTCAACAGCCGCTCTATAACAAACGCTCACGTCTCACGTGGCCAACAATATTTTATCTGCATACATTCAATTACTCATTGCACTGTTCCCCGTCACGTTGTGACCGTCTTATATATATACAAGACTAACAGAT